CTTCCATTTGTTCACCACCCTCAGGCCGGCGTGCAGTCTGTTAGAAAGAGGGCTAACCCAGAAGCCAAATGCAAGCCTGAGTCAGCCGGTGGCCTCTTCCCTCTCTGAGCCTCAGTTTCCTCACCTGCAGGATGGAATTGAGAGTGATGATTTTCCTAACTCACAGGACTGCTGTCAGGATCTTCAGGGGAAATGGGTGTAGTGAGGAGAAGGAACAGAGACGTTCTCTGCATGTGCCCATTCTACAGCCGCACCATAGGGGGCAAGGACCAGGGACCTCACAACGAGCCTTTAGAAAGAGCTTGAACTGGAAGCAAAAATATCTGGAATTTAATCCCAGTCTACTAGCATTTATGTAACTTCAGAAAAGTCTGTTATATAACTTCTTATATAACTTCGAAGCCCGTTTGTTCGTTCATCTATAAAATGTGGCGAGGTGATCACTAAGGGCTCCTACAGTGGCGCCACGTTGGGGTTCTAGGCCCCCACCCCACCCAGTTGCCTACCTTGAAGGATGGTCTCATATCCACCTGGAAAACCATGTCCGTTGCTAGACCCCAATGCTGAGGGCAAGATGTCTAGTTAGTAAATTTTCATTCTCGGCTCAGCAACACTGGAGGTGATGCCGGCTTCCCAAAGATTCTCTCTGTCCTCAGACCTGACGGTGAACCAGAGGCCGCTGCAGAGATGAGACCGGCAGGTGACACGGCGAACCTCGCCTATCAGAGGTGCAGTGCTATGGACCTGATTAACATCACGGTGTAGCGGACACCATGGAGCACCCCTCAGCTGCCAGGCAGAATAAATAAAGCAGTGTTTTATCTTGTGTTGGTTAACGTAACAAAGAGACTTGTGCATTATTTACTACCGTTCCCCGCACAGGCCTCTATGCTGCCCTGGGCCCGGGAGAAGGCACACCCTGGTTTCCACCCTGGGTGTGCGTTACAGATTGCTTGCCATGCAGCTGGGGGAGTAGGTCCCTGACCGGATGCTGTGATAGACACGTGCAGACTGGCGGGCACAGGAGTGTGGCCTCTGCTCTCTGACAGATCCAGCTCTGCCGCCATGCGATCCTGAGCCCCTCCATCAACCTCAGTTTCCTCACTTATAAGATGGGGGTGGTGCAGAGGAGATGGCATGGTATGAATAACATCCCTAGCAAATGAAGTGTCCCTTTGAGGGTAACTCTTATTATTAGTCACATGCGCATTACTCTTAGCTCAGTATTTCTAAGGCAGTCGGTCAAGCCAACGCGCTGGCACGCACCCTGGGAAGCTGGGTGCCTGGGGTCCCTCGCTGGAACAGCAGATGATCATTTGTCCACCTTTAATAGTGTCCTTCTCTCCTCTCATTATAATACCAGACTTCATTCAATCATTCATTCATAATGCCAGCCATGGATCTTAGCTTGGCTTCTTCCAAAAGCAGACAAAGACAAGGAACTGAGAGCAAGCAGCTTATTTGCCAGGCGATACCTAGAAGCAGAAGTAAGGGACAGCCAAAAGTGAGGCAGAGCAGAGAGAAAATCCAGGGAAGGGTGTGTTAAGGAAGGAATTACCTCTGAGAGGAAAGGGATCGCAGTCTCTCTAGGGACCTTCTTAATAATGATGTAAAAACACTCCTCAGAGTTGTCTCCCTAAGGAACAGGGAGACAGCTGAGGGTTGCCTTTTTGGGCGTAAATTCCCCTTCGCTTCCTGGTCGCTCCTCTGCAAGGCCGGTCTACCTGACAAGGGATGCTGGCCAAGTGCATGGAACTGTCCACTACGGCTGTGCTAAAATCAGGTGAGCTGAGGACATGTGTGGCAGGCAGCCCAGTGTCTGCTACAGGTGGGCACAGGACAGTCGGGTGATTCATGAGTGCTTTGTCTCCACTGTCCCACGCTGGGGAGTTTGGTAGGAACAGTGTGAGTCAACTGCATCCCAAGAATCTAGAAGAGTGCATGTAGAATTGCACACCCTGGGATTGTTTGTTGAGTGAGAAGATGGATGGATGGATGGATGGATGGATGGATGGATGGATGGATGGATGGATGGATGGATGCATGCATGCATGCATGGATGGATGCATGCATGCATGCATGGATGCATGGATAGATGCATGGATAGATGCATGGATGGATAGATGCATGGATGGATAGATGCATGGATGGATGGATGCATGGATGGATGGATGGATGGATGGATGGATGGGCAGCTGGGCATATGAATAGATAGATGAGATTTTTCCTTCATAACAATGATTTCTACCTACAAATGTAGGGGGTAACTGAAGGGTGGGGGAGGTTGGATGCAGATAGATTTTGATGTACAGGGGTGATCAACATGGGGCAGGGGCAGGTAAGTCATGGAACCCTCCAAAGAAATGAATCTAGGGCTGGGCCAAACGGGCCGTCAGTCGATGCTGGGCCTGTTGACAGAGCTGTCTTGTGCTGGTACTCCAGCTTGGACTCAAGCAAGATGGGAGCCAGAGGTGCAGCTGACCTGAAATTGTGAAGAAAGAGGTGAGTAGCCTGAAGCCTGGTCTCTGATGACCTCAGACTTAGACCCTCTGGCCTTTGCAAAGCCACACCCTTACTGAATGTCCACTCTGACCTTGCAGGAAAGCCAAATTTCCCTTTAATAATCAGTGCATTTGACCAGGAAAAAGGAAAACAAAGTGTTGGAGATTTTATACATTTTTAGGCACCTTTATTTTTTATTATAGTTGAAATCTTAAAGTGAAGATCAGTTTCTATAAGTAACATTTCCTTTGTCCTCATTATGAACATAGTACTGTTTGGAAAATTTCGACATTTTAAAAATAGAAAAAAGTATAAAGACAATAACTCACACTGTTCAGAGATGAATAACTTTTAATGTATTTGTAATACATTTTTAAGGAAATTGAGGTAATTTATATTTACAGTTTTAGATATTTTCCTCCACAGGGCTTCCCAACTGGATTGTATAATGTGTAATTTTCATATGTAATTTTCCATGCCATTGAATATTCCTCGAAAACATTAATTTTAATGACTATATAATATTCTACCATACAGAGAAAACCTAATTTACTTTCCCATTTCCCTCTTGTTGGACATTTTGGTCATTTCCCATTGTTTGCTATTATGCATGTTGCTGGTATGAACAGAACTGTGCAAAACCCTTCATATGCAATGTGTCCTTTAAACTCTCCTACAAACCTGTGAGGTGATTACTGTGCAGATTCTCTTTTTACAAATGAGGAAACTGAAGATCAGAGAAGAGTTAAGTGATTTATCAAAAGGTCACTGTCTTAGTTTAGGTCCCCAAAAAACAAACCCTGAGATAAGGACCCAAGTGCAAGGGGCTTATTTAAGAAGAGCTCTCCTCTCAAGAAAACAGTGGGGAAATGGGAAAATGAGCCGGGGAGGTGGGGCAGCCAGCGAAATGCTTGTCATCCAGCAAGTTGCTACCATGGATAACCTGAGCTAATCCTGGGGGGAAGCCTGAGGAGCCAGTGTACCCCTGTCACAGAATCATCCCACATGAGGGATGTGGGGCTAGTATTTTTCACCAACCCCAATCAGTCTTGGTTGAGGCTGCTCCCAAGGAGCCTTAATTCCCTTCGCTTCTGGACTGCTGTGGGGAGGGGGCAAAGCAGGCTCTGGCGGCCACGAAAATGCAGGTGCTGGCAGGCAGAAGTTAGGCAGCGTTCCCTGTTAATGAAGACGAGGGGATAAGAATGGGCAATGGCCAGAGCCACTCGGGTCAGTCACATAGCATGTAACTGTCAGAACTGGAATCTGAATGCAGACGTGCTTAACTCCGGAGACCTTACCTTTAATGACCTGGCTTTGCAGAGATACAAGCCTTCCTGTGACCTTGGGCCAGCCACTTCATGTCACTGAGCTCCGGGACCTGGCGGGGATTACGCTGTCTGCCACACCTGACTCAAAGCACTGTCGCAAGATGACAGCTTGGACGTGTCAGCACTTCGATGACCAGCAAGCCATCGTTGGTTCAGCAGTACTGACCATCCCCCTCAGGTGAGCAGGAGCCACATCAGGCAGACATTCAGAGCTCTCCTGAAGATAACTAATTAAAGGAAATTAATAGAAGATGGGCCCGTTCCCTGAATTTATTACATGAGTAGTTTTCTAGATTAATGACATGGTATGCAATGCACACACAGCTCATTGAAATACAGTATAAGTCCTTGATGAGCTCTGGAGTGTTCCATTTTCCTGGCAAGAGGGAAACAAATACACAATTGCTCATCTCCATGCACTGGCAGCCTCCAGGTCTGGAATCTCCCAGGAGGGAGCTTAACTGCTCCGTAAGCTTCAAACTCAAGGGCTCCTCAATGCTAAGCTCCTGACGAACCACATTAAAGTAAAAATGACAAAGATGCCAGTTGACATATGTATTAAACATGCAGATCCTGAAGGAGCTGGTGTGGGCTGCTCATGCCAATGTTATGTCACAGATGAGAAGTCAGTAATGCTGCAGGCCTCCCACCCACTGAAGTTCATACTTTAGGGTAAGGTCAAGATGAACTGGAGGTTTGAACCCTGGGCGGGCTGACTTCAAGCCATTGGCTTCAAGCCATGACTTCAAAACACTGAAGATGTTTTACAGCTTCTCCAACCACTGGAGAGCAAATGTGAATTAGTAGCAGAGAACCATTCTGTGGCAAAAACCTACACCAAGATTTCTATACCCAACCCAACCCTAGTACAAGCCTGCATATGCATTTACCTAGATTTTTTTTAAAAATAGGGAACATGAATTAAACAAAGAAGTGGGTTAGTAAAATTAGCATGTTTACTCCTGGGCACTAAGGCTGTAATTCGGGTAGTTTTTACCAGGTGAACGATGGTGCTAATGTCTCCATCTACTATTACTAATGCCAGGAGATTTACACACGCTATTAATCATCCCAATAACTGTGAAGGAAGGTACCATGGTCCCCATTTTGTAGAAGAGGAGTTGGAGACACAAAGGGTGACGTGCCCAGAGGCAGTCACATCACTAGTAAGTGGTAGAGAGAGGGTTCAAACTCACTTCAGACTGGCTTCAAAGCCCAAGCACTTTGACACCAAGGCACCACCTCCAACTGTCTAAATGTTCCCCAGCCTCAAAATGCAGCTTTAAAACTCACAAATTGTGCCAACAATTCCAGATCCTCGTCTCTAGCCTAACACCATCCCAGAAATTCAGATTCATATAGTGTTTTGATTACCAGGAGTCTCAAACTTAAACAGAACTTTTGATTTCCACATTTTTCCCCCTGCCCCAAATATCCTCCACTTATCCACGCAAAGGGTACTATGATCTGGGTGCTCAGGCCAAACATTTTGTTGCTATTTCTGATGCCTCTGTTTTGATCCTTCATTTCTTTTCTTTCTTTTTTTTTTTTTTTAATATATCTTTATTGTTTTCAGAGAGAGGAAAGGAGAGGGAGAGAAAGATAGAAACATCAATGATGAGAGAGTCATTGATCAAGCCCATAACCCAGGCATGTGCCCTGACTGGGAATTGAACCCCGATCGCCTGGATCCTAGGTCGACCCTCAACCACTGAGCCACGCCCGGGCGGGCGATCCTTCATTTCTAACACATTAATAGACCTACAAAATACACCCCAAATCCATCCACCTCTCTCCATCTCCATTAGAGCCACTTTAACCCAGCAACCATCACCTCCAGCCTGTGTGAGTGCAAAACCTTCCTAAGGATGCTGCTTTCCCCTCCACTCCCCTGCCAGGGGAGCAGGAAAGCAGCTATAGACAGTTCATACACAAATGGGCATGGCTGTGTTCTAAACCAACTCAATTTACAAAAATGTGTGGTAGTGCAGATTTGGTCAGCGGCCTGTAGCTTGCTGACCCCTAGCTCAGAGCAGCTTTTCTCACCCAGGCTCCTCGTTGGAACTACTCAACAGAGAAAATGATTAAAGTAATATGCTCTCAATTCTCCCAAGCATGGCAAAGATCTAGAGCAGTGGCTCTCAAAGTGCAGTCCTTGGCCCTGCAGCCTCAGCATCACCTGGGTACTGGACAGAAAAGTAATCCCAGGGCCCAGTCCTGAATCAGAAACTCTGGGAGGGGGGCTCAGTAGTCTGCACCATAACAAGCCCCCCAGGAGATTCTGATGCACACTCAAGTTTAAGAGTCTAGAGTAATCAAGAAAAGTTCTTCCCATTGCCATGGTGTAAATTCAGGGGTATAGCTAATTAGCAAACACAGTTTCCCTAATCATGGGGATTGGTGATCTAATATGGGAAAATTTTTCAAAATATTTAACAACCAGCATAGCAAGAGCAGCAACCAATCAGAATAGGTGGCAGCCATAGCACCCGAGCAGGGTTCTGAACCCCCCCCCCCC